TATAACCCACTGAGAACCACGGGTTGACAGCTGTACATTCTAGCAAAGAGACAGGAAGTATGCACCTTCTTCTGGTTCTGATTCTCTCCCAGGTGAGAGATCAGCATACCACTCCTGCCATGGCAGCAAAAAGCAAGAACAAGTTCTAGATGAGAAAGAGAGAAGTGTGAACTTCACTTTCTTCCCATTCTCTACGCCGTATTTCCCCCCTTCTCTTCAAGGTAGTATTCAACTCTATATTACTTTTTCAGTTCTTTTATTTCTGAAAGATTTTAATCCTGCTGCATACTGAGGTTTCTGAACTACTGCATTTCATCATGTCTAAATAATGGAAGAAGTCATTAAACAGAAGCATTATCCAGTCTGCTTTAGATATAAAAAAAAAGCAGAAGACTGAAAATTCACTGATTTCTGGTACAGACATTCACTAGAACAAGTAAAATTGAATAGCCACATTATTAAAAGATTATAAATGCAAGTTCACACATGGCAGACATTGGTCCTTCATCTCACTGAAAGCTCATGTCTTAGAAATGTGGGGTTCTACATCAATGAACCTCTGTGTCAGACTCAATGGCAGTTTTGTGATGCAGACAAATAGCTATTTGAAACTGGTTTGAGACAGCCAATGTTTTTAACCTGAGGCAAACTTGTATTGTAGTGACAGAAATAAGGCTACTAATGAACTCACCAACATTTAACTATTCCTGTTGGGCCTCCCATTGGTCAAATTTCACAAGTCTAGCACTGTACTGCCCAAGGCAAGAAAATGAAATAGGAATCATTTTCATTAGGAAAAGGTTAAAGCTCTTCCTATTTAAAGGAGGTAATCAGGACTCAATATTAGTTTATACCGAAGATTAATTGTTTGATAAGCCCAGTATATAGTCTAGTAGGCAAATTTTAAAAGAAGCCTCAAATCTGTATTTTTGCATCTCAGTCTCTTAATGTTTCTCTAGAACAGAAAAATTCATATTCTATACTGCTCTTTACAGTAGAACACAAGTAAAACATTACAAAATTAGAGGCTAGTCTTTATACTCCAGATGTTTCTAACTGGCTTCTAGCTCAAGATTCAATGAGAGCAAAAAAGTGGTCAGTAATTGCTATAGTAAATACAGATACACCTTTCAGCTTAGAGGAGAAGCAGGAAGTGAGATCTTTCTATCAATGCAGGCAAGTGTTAGCTTCAGTCATCACAAAACTTTTACTGATCACAGCCACATCACATACCTGCATATGCATTAAGAATAAAAGTGAAAATAAGTGTACTGTATAGAAATTCACATTTTCTTTGGAGTTACAGTATGGACCATAACTCTAAAGTTTCTCTCCTGTTTCCCTCCCACTCTTTGCAGCACCAGTCCTTAACAGTGCAGTTACTAGGGCAGAAAGCTAATAGAAGGCTGTAAGGAGATAGCAAAGTTAGAGGAAAAAAATCAACATGAACAGATACCCAGGAGTTCTCTGTTTTAGTCCAATGCTATCCTAGAGACCAATGGTACCTGCTTGGCTGCCTTTTTTGCCCTTGCACTGTGACAATACTTACACTAAGAAAAGGAGGACATAACTGAACTACTCTATGAAATGCTGCTCCAACTGCTTAGCAACACAGTCGTTTCAACATCTCTTGAGACCCTCAGAAACTGCAATCCTTCCTCCAACCCCACAGGTTTGAACTGTGGCAGCACTAAAGAAGTCACCAGCTCAGCCACACTTCACTGTTGGCACCAAAAGCCCCTTTCACAGCTACTTCCTTCTTAATCTCTTTCTCTCTAAAAAGTCTATTATACATCTGACACGGAAGCTGACAGCTCCCTGAAGGGCTAGTTTTTACCTTCCTACTCCCAACAGTAACTGAAGTTGGTGTTATTATTCCCACTTTACAAATGGAGACCAGGTCAGGAAACAAGTGACAAGTCTAAAACAAACCACGTGAAATCAATTACTTCTCAGTCCTGTGCACTGTCATTTGGACGAAGGTTTAGATCTCTTGCTATTTGAAATTCCAATTACAAACTGAAATTTTTAATAGTGTTGTTTCTGACAACAGGACAGTAATGCATTTCAATTTGTTTCCTGTGTCTGTTACCCTTGTGTGCTTGTGAGTGCAAGCTAAGTTTAGTAACTAATTAGACTGGAGTCACAATTCCATTAGAGGTCTGGATCAGTAATTCACCAAGGAGGAAACAAAACATCTCTTGTTTGAAAAAGTTGAAATAATTGTAGCTTTATTTGAGGAATTAAAAAAAAAGTTTAAAGAGGAAGAAGTCATCCAGTAGCTATACAAACCTCATTGTGTGCTTCCATTTTAGAAGGCATAAAATAGGTCATGCTCAAATCAAGTGAAACCTCTGGCTGACATAAGTATTTTAAATCAGCTGAGCTTTTACACTGGAGTAACAGCTGTAAAAGATAATCCTGAACAAAATTAGTAGTTCCAATACTAATTTTTTTTCTTTATATTGAAGTTGGACCATTTCAATACAAACACTACTTTCCATTGTTCTCAACAAAGCATACTAAGCAGCTGCAAAAACACTCCTTCAATAAAGAACAACTGAGTAAGGTCATTACCAAAGAAGGAGAAAGCAGTAACACACAAGATCTGATGCCCCTGTAAAAAGGGCAGCTTATTGGCGTAGTACAAAGAATCTTTTAACACTGAGAAAGCATAACGGCTCAGGGTTTCCTCAGAGAGATGTATATAAACCAGTGCTATTCTGCTATTGCCTAGCAGGAGGTTACAACTAGGGGTGAGGGGATAGACAGAAGTATCAATATCTTTGAAAAAGAGAAGAAATTGAAGTGTTAGCACCAAGAAGGAAACAGCTAGCTTGGAAAGACTACAATATTATAAAACCCTTGTAACAAATGCATAAGGATTAACCCACTGCAGGTCTTAGAAACTGCAAAAGCAAAAGCAAGCTGAGGTCAGCATGGAATCTCTGGCAGAATTTGATCTGGTACTAAAGTACTTAAAATTCAACCAAACTCTACAAACGGTAAGAGGTAAAGCTTTGAAAGTTCCAGGAATACTCAGAATCCCATAGCTGTCTGACAAAATGCACACAAATCCCAGAGTAAAACAATACACCTCTGCCTCAATGAAGGGAAAAGCTCTAGCTTTTCAGTCTTCTGCATTGTCCTAGCATGGTCAATGAGAAACAGCTGAGGCAACAGGACACTGTTGTAGCACTGCTCTCCCTGCTTTGCAAGGCTCCCCAACTCGCTAGATAAAGAAATAGGAGCAGTGGACAGAAACAACTGCACCCAGCCCTTACCCCACTTCACAACAGACAAGGCGGAGCATGTTGACTTCATTCCACATAAATGTACACCTTCATCTATCTTCATCAACCTTTGCAAAAAAGGTCAAAGGGCCAATGTTCAGAGCCACTCCCAACTCAATCAGCTTTCACTGACTAAGTGTGGTTTATGCTGTCCTTGGTATTGGGATTCACTGGGGCTTAACAAGCTTGTAACTGCTGCCAAAAGAGAAGAGTTAAATAATAAACCTGTACACAGATGAGTTTTGCCCAATAAGGATACAATGGCCTTGTATATCAGACAGAACTAAAATTCTAGGTCACTTAGTATTCACAGAGTCTTCCCTAATCCCCATTTCACCTTGTCCCATCCCCTTGGTCTTCAAACCTCTTTCAGTGTGTCTATTTGCTATATGCATGAGTTCAGCAACTCCTACAGGAGGAAAAAGGGTGGGGGCAAAATACAAGTTTGCCAGAGGAGCAAATAATTCTACAAATCTTCTAAGTGTTTCTATGTCAAGTCTTGGAGGCTTGTTAAAGGGCAAGGGATGGAGTGCACATTTATGTAAAATCTTAAGTCCAGCTTCAGAAGTACAACAACAAAAAATAGTCACCTTTGGGACTTGCTTTCCTCAACCACATCTGAATATAAAGGCTACCACAGTTGCAAAGTTTACATGCAATACTGGTCACCTCCTAACCACTCCCCACCCGCACTGGCCCCCTGACCCCAAAGACAGACTTCCAAAACACCAGCCTGGGGCTCAGGGGAATAGCAAGCACAGAAATCACTAGAGCTCTGCTGGCCTATATAACTACATTAACAAAGCATATTAACAGGGAGAAATGTTGCATCTCTAACCTACAAAGACTGTACTACTCCATATTCTATACTACTACCCTTCCTGCCTTATCATTCTTATCTTACTCATAGTACTACACACTTCCAAAGTTCACTTATCCTTCCCCCCCGCCCCTGAGGAAATAGAGGACTATAGACATGACTATGAAGGCTGTAACTACAAAAAGTAAAAGGAATTTGTACTGAACTATAAAGAAACAGAATTTTTTTTATACACCCCGAATAGAACATGCTGCTAATTAAAGCATTTGAATTATCTAAGAATACATGCCAGAAAAAATACTGTATTAAAAAAAGGTTATTAAGCAAGCAATCACTCCTGCAGCATGCAATGAGATGGTTGACTTGGGAGGCTAATGAATTACAATAAATGATTTAAAACTAATTTAATTTAACAATGTAGAGCATTTGAGCATTGCAAAGCAACAGATAATCATTTGTTTCTTCATTAAATCAAAGATAAAATTGCTGATTACCCTTCCATGAATTATTTTATTGAAGAGGATGGCAAACAAATTTTATATTTAGTCATAAAAGTTCATGGCTAGTCCCCAAACAAGCAAATGTAACCAGTGAAGGATACCAGTGAACATAATATAGACCAGCTGTGGTTTAGGGTAACATGTTGTTCAGTCAAAACAGATTCTCACATTTTAACAGTTAGCCAACAAATGTTCATACAGAAAATTAATACAGAATTTTAAGTTTACTTTTTATTTCCACAAAACATACCTAAACAGCACAATTTACTATTCACGATCTTTAAGTGTGTTAAAATTAGATGATGAGAATGCTGAGCATTTGATACTGCCACAAGTACTACAATGATTAAACTCCCCTCTATTTTACATATAAATTTATGAACTTGCCTCAAAAGTGTTACCGGTGATATCAAATTCTGGTGGAACAAAGGCACCCTCTGGATCATCTTTGAAAGCAAAAGGAAACGTGTCAGATTAGAAATTAGTAGTCTTGCTTGTTTAAAAAACAAACCAGATTGATGATAAAATTCAATGATACACTCATATCTGATATGAAAGAAACTATGTATATAACAGTATTTTGGTTCACTCATATCTGATGTACAAAGGAGTTGTTATCCATGTTTCTAGAACTGTAAGTAAAATAAAATGCTATTTTCAAACTTTCAGCAAGAAGATACCATCCTTTTCCTAGTAAGAAACAAAACAGACAAACCACCTCCAAATAAATATATTAACCATGCCTAACCACTTCTTGCCTTCAGACATTTATGTTTGGACCAAGTTATCACCTAAGCTGCTGTGACTTAGCTGTGGTTTACAGGTTTGATTTGATTAATGGGACATTTCCATTCACTGTTTTCCACTGCAGGCCTGGGTGATAAGGGTTCAAGCAGCAAAAACAACCTGAACAGCTAATTGCTTCTTCATCTACAGGCCAGGTTAGAATCTTGGCCTTTCTGCTTAGTTTGTTTTAATTATGATAAAAGAGTGGAGGAAGCACATTCCCCACCTGCGTGCTGCTTAGCAGGGAACTGAGCTACTGCAGCAGCCACTTCTGAGTGAAGAGGTGGAAGGAAGAAAGGAACATCTTGAGACACCGATGTTGCTGCTGCATCCAAGTATGTATGTAGGATCACACTGTACTGATGTCACACGAACCCAGAAAAGAATACCAGGGGATTAAAAAAAGTGTCCGACTAAAAACCTACTCTTCATGTATCTATTCAACTCATCTAAGTCTATCATTCTGTGAAGCCAATGGATGATTGAGATAATTTACAAGCAGAGAATGTAAGTTTCCTCTCTCAACAGGGAGGGAAAAAAAAAGAACCAAACCACTATGCTTACAGGCATAGCATAGTCGTCACAGCTTTAGCTCTAATAGAACTTTTGTACCTGTATTTTAGAAGTGAAATGCAAAGCTCTTTTGTTGTGAAGATACTAAACTCAGTTATATGGCAGAGAGGACTAGAGAGGACTTTTTTTTTTTTTAACATATTCATATATTGCAGCTACGTGGCATGGCTGACTATCTAGATGCCACTAAGTGATTTACAGTTCCTTACAATGTTCCTAATTCTACTTTCCCACTGAAAAAGAGGGGTATGCAAGTAATTTTGCATCCCCCACACACCACATTTTTTTTTTGGGGGGGGGGGGGAGGCAGAAGGGGAAGTGAACTAATGGACAGAAGATATTTTGTCCCCCCTTCTCCACCCCCAGACTGCTGCTCCTTCTTTTCATCTCCCCACTACCTTTTCCCTTTCTTTCCATAGAACACTTTAAAGGCTGCACAAGCATATAATTTTTATCACTGGTAAAGCCCACCCATCATATTTTTTTACTATGTTTACAATGGAAATTTGTCTGATGTGAAGAGACAAGAAGATATCAGAGCCCTTGGCAGAACATATTGAATGTTTGCCACTTTAGCACCACAGAACCTGCAGGAAGCAGAACTTGCTGTTAAAGCAGAGGCGACAGGCTGTTCATTTTCTCTCACTGGCAAGCAAATCCATAGGTTATAATTTTCTTCTAGAAGAATAAATCCATAGGCAAAAACTATAGAGAAGCAAAAAATGACAACCTCCCCAAGTGCCTATCTAACAACTGTATTTTAACAAAATAGTAACAAGATCTGAGGGAAAGGGGAAGAGAAATAGAATACATACATAACTTTTTGCATTCCTAGGGAAAATGCAACTTTCTTTAAAGAGAACTAACGAAAAGTCTCTTCCTCAGAGACTAACATGACTTCAGGGAACAAAATCCTTGTACATTTGCTTTGCATGGAAATTTGTTATCCCACATTTTAAGCACCTGAATATGGCAAATTCCTGGATCAATTGTTTGCCAGATATTCAATTAGACTGAAACATTTAAGAAGAAATTGATTTTTTTATTTTCCCAGCTGCAAGCAAAGATCTTAGCTGATGGGTATTTTTCATCCACTAGATTTATTCTCTTCAACAAGTCTTTCATAGACCCTTACAAATACAAAGCCAGCTTTTTATTCTTTTTTTTTTAATTTCAAGTTATGACAAGCTCCTTAAAATAAAGGAAGTGGATTCCACATTACCCTATTAACATGGAACTGAAAATTGACCCACACATATTTGAGGAATTTAAGCACAAAACAAATACCACAACAATTATGAAGATATATTTTCATCTTTATTAATTACATTTTATGATGTTACATGCTTATTTGAAGTAGTATCTTCAACTCTAAAGAAGGCAACAAATATTCATTTGTTGCAAAGTTACCTTACCCCATTTTTTCCAAATACTGTGATCTGGATTTTGACTAAAAGAATAATCACTTATTCTGATGTAAATTTAAAAATAAATTAGGTTAAAGACGACATAACAAAAACCTGAACAGTGTGTATATGGACCAGAACGGTTCTTCTAGTTACAGGCTGACATAATTTTAAAAGGACTATAGAATAAGAGCTGGGGCTTTTTTGTTTTGTTTTGTTTTGTAATATACCTAACAGGCTCAAGACAAAGACTCTTGAGATGGGTCATGTGAAAAGGGAACAGCAAAAATAACATGGTTTTTTGTCTGTGCTGAAATCAGGAGTCATTTTTAACTTAAGCATCCCCCCCCCCATTCAGCTGCTACAATACCTGAAGATATTACATGCTACTACATACTGGTTTTAGCACATTAAAATTCATTTCTCAGTCAGTCACCACACTTGCCGAGTCTAAAAATCATGACTTCAAAAAAAAAATAAAATTCTTTATTCAAGAGAGCTTTCCTTTCTAATAGTGCATATGCACTAGAATTGCCCCATTCTCTATGGCCACAATCATCAAGACACACTGAATGTCAGATTTCTCCAGAAATAGAACATATCCATGAAATGAGAAGAACTGAAGAGACCAACAATGTGCTTTACATAGGTAGAAACTTATGCACACAGGTACACAAATACATAACCTACAGTGTTTAAAATGGAAATAAATTACATTTCCCTGGATAAGTCTTAAAATAACTAGAAAGAAACTTCTAAGCAAACTCGTAAAAGCCTTTGTTCATCAATCACAAAAAGCATGTAGTTTCATACAGACCTATACTCACCCATTCTTAAACAAGTTTTTGTTTTCACTTTATTTTAATTACGTCTTACGAATAGAATATAACTCTTTACTACAGTCTCTCACTACGAGTTTCTATAGTTCTAAAACAAATGGCCTGGAAACACAAATACTTACCACTGAGCTGTTCCATGAAGCATACATTGCCATTGGTGTTAAAAGCCAAAGTGTCAGGAGTGATGCAGAGTGTCTGGAAGATTGCAGAATGGGCAATGCTCTTCAGAGAATGGCAACACTCCAGGCAAATTGCCCAAATATCTTGCTCAGTAAGACAGCTATCCCGCAGTGACAAAATATCAGCAAGGGACACATTCTCCTGCCAAGATACAAATTCATAAATTTCCCTGGATTTCATGACACTACTTTGTGTATCATAGATTATATTTGACACAATTGGCTACGAGTAATGTTTCCAGCAAGTTCTCAGACTTTCTAAGACACTGATTAACACCCCAAGAAACACCAAGTGCATGACTTTGCTCTTAACACAAGGAGTCTCTTAAGCACAGTTAACCTGAACAAAGGTATCACAGTATGTTAATATCAAAAAAAGACTCACTATGGGAACTATGTAAGTTACATAAACATTGCATCAAAGTTAGGGAAATACACCAACTGGAGGTAAAAGCAGAGAGACTAAGTTAAGATATTTTGTTTAACCCATGTCTCCCTTGAGGTCTTCCAGGTGCCTTTGGATAAACTACTTAAAAATTCTCTTGACAGCAGTTTTCCCTACCATCTGTGTTCTGGGAAAAAGTAGCCTCTAAATTAGCCTGTCTTAAGAATGATGCTGTTGTGAAGTTCAGTGGTGTAGACCATTTAATAAACACTCAAAAGCCAAACAAGCCATACGAAAAGTGTTATACTTTGGCTTAAAAACAAACACTTTGATTGTCCTAGGCATCCCCATTACACCCAGAGCTCTTAGTGATCAAAATAACTCATGGGCTTTGCTTCTAAGTTACTACCCTAAACTACAAGTTTACTTCCTTTGACCTCATCATCACAGTAAGGCTATGAAGAGTCCAGTTCCAAAAAAATGTGGCTCTAATATGGCTTTTCTGGTCAAGATGTTCAGGAACAATGCTCAGCTCAAAGCAGCTAGCCTTTTTATGTCCATTTTTTAGAATACAATACTAACACATTACTTATAGGTACAGAAGTAAAGTTTTCATGAACTTAAAGGAAAGACAAAACACATAAAAACATCAATTCCACCTGTAAGAAAAAATAAGCTAAGAAAAATGGAAGTAGCTACAGAAGTTACTTTGCATCAAAGCTATACCACTATTAACTACAAATAGTATTTTCTCATTGATATGTAGTAATTAAGACTAAGATTATACTTCTGAATGATACTAAATATACCTTGAATTGAAGATGTAGCTGCATATTACTTAGAATATAGGAAAAAGAATGTATGTCATCGTCAGCAAAACAGAATGCAAGGTATCTTACAGTTCAGAAAGCTGCAGTGGTTTAAACTTTTAATCCCTTGGAAAATACAGTTATAACTTTCTTTACATACCTCAGTACTGGAGAACATCAATGATATTTGGATTACCATTTACAGAAGGGTTAACAGTTTGTTAACATGTTTTTCAGAGAATTAAGTATTTCAGTCACAATATCCTTCTAGCAAGGACCTATCTTTAGTCCAAGAATTTATTTTGCTTTTTAGTCTAAAGTATAATCCTTAATAAATAAGAGAAAAAAAAACAGGTAGCAAATAAAGCACACTTACTATTATTTGGGAAACTTCACTTCTATTTTCAATATTGTAGTTTTCATCAGCCTAGAGACGGATAGATTTACTAATGGCAGCATTACTACAGTGCTTTCTAGCATTAATCATGAACCCTGGTCTCCCTGAGTTCAGTCCTACATAACAATGAACAGCAAAAACCCTTACAGTTCAGGTACATGAGACAAAAGATCTCTTTTTCCTGTGCTGTGCTCAGCACCATATGTATAATGCTGCCACCAGATTTTGAGGGTGGATGAGGAGGTTTTCCACATCTTTATGGGGAACTTCTTTCAAGCAAGAAGGGCATCACAGAGGTTCCTGTATGTGAAAACATATGAGAAGGTGCTGGACCACAAACCATTGTGCTTTGAAGCTGACCAAACTAATAGCTAGGATGAGGATAGGCTGGAAAGGAAAGACAAATGGCTTATTCTATGGCCAACCAAAATAAGTTTAAGAAAAAAGAAGAAAAAGGAGTTCTATGATCAAAGTAATGAAACAGTAATTATTTTTAACTCTCTTAGGATCATCCAGCTAGGTGACACGATGGCATTTGCCAAAACTCAACAAAACAACCAAAACTAGAATGCTTCACTAATCAAGATGCAAAACTATAAGAGTTTCATCTGTGCTTATGGACAAGAAAGGCTCAATTTAGAGATTATGTGCAATAAATAAAGACTGCAACCTTTAAGATAGCCTTAATATCAAATTCCAGTCACAATGAGGACTTGATGGAATTTCTTTTGAGTCAAGCTTTGAGGCTGAGCTCTATAGTGGATATTAATCGTTAGTAGTGATACCTACAGTTTAAACCTACAAAATCATCTTTGTCTTGAGGTTACTTGAGGAGTACATGAAAGATGATGATCTCATATCAGATAATCTTGTCTTCTTTGCAGGGGATGGGAAAGTTAGGTAATACAGAAGAAAAAAAAAAAAGAAAAAAGAAAAAAAAAGCCTATGAATGTTCAATAGCTTCCATCAGCAATGGATGGCTAGGTGAAGATAAAAAACAAAGCAAAACACCACCACCACAACTATACGGCAAGCCTTCCTCCTTCCCATGTTCCAGGACGCTATTTACTTCACAGAAACCATATATTTCTCAAATGGCCACACTATCTTGACTTTAGTTATTAAAGTTGCTATTGCAGCAAAGCAAGGCCTTTGTAGGGAACAAAGCATTGAAAACATTGATACATGCATTTAACTGGTTTGCATCCTCAAAGCAATACAGAAACAAAGTTTTCACTGGAGGTGGGGGAAAATCCTTTTAACACTATAACACAGGAGTTTGTCAAGCACAAGCTTCTGGTCAGCCAGGGCTTCTGTACTTTGGACCACTGAAATTTGGTTCACTTCAAATTACAGGGAAACTCGAGTGAGTTACGTAACAGAGATGCTGATGCTTTTCCTCTCGTCTCAGTAAAAGACACTTGTAAAAATAATTACTGTTTAATAACTATGAAAAGTGAACTGGTCAGACAACCATGTTTTAATTACTCACTTTAGTTCTCAATTTTCCCTTATATTTTCTTCAGAAAGTATAAAACAGTTCAGTAGCATGAAATTAAGCAGAGGAAAATAGACTAGGAAGAGAAATTAATTGGCCACAGACAACTTCTTTAAAAATTTGAAATTAAATATTAAGGAGTGTGAGACAAAGAAAGTCCTAGTAAAGAAAGGCATTTGAAATACACCTTCACCCTCAGCATTTCCTACTCTTCAGCTGAGTCAGCTTCTTGCTTCACATATTGGCTTTTGTAAACCACATACATCAGGAACCAACGTCTTTCCTCATACTAGGTACTGTGATGAGACGCACAGGCTCCACTAAATGACTAAGCAGCTGAGAGTTAGGTGCATCAGCATTCACAGCTTGCTGGTACCTAAGTCTTTTTGCCAAGATAATTCACACAAAATTCAAAACAATCTATTCCAGAATCATGGAAAATGTGGCAAATACCATTCATTATATACATTGCATTTGAAGAAAACCACTGGGTTGCCTGGGTAAGCTCACGGTTATACTCTTCAAAGCAGCCCTTTTTATTACCTTCTCTAATCACCAGGTGATAGGTCATGTTCATTCTTTCAACAAGAATATTGAAAAGATTCATGTGCCTGGATTAACTAAATAGAAAGGACTAGTGGGAATCCACAAAGTATATATTGAGCAGGTGAGAAAAATGGGCTCAGGTCTTCCTCACAGAGAAGAGCTGACCCTCAGCCTTCTTCCATCTTGAAGAAATACTCTAAATACTTAAGTTAATGTGTAAAAACGAGGCCACTACCACCTTCTATCTATATTTTGCATGGGCCAGTCTGAGAGGGCCTACTACACTGAACACTACAGATGATGGGAGGAAGAGCCAGACTGCTGAGACATTAGATGACTTAGGAAAGCTGGAAAGGCCTTTTCATTTTCAAACTCACTTTTAAATCCTGATTCAACTTGGGTTCTTCACATAGCAAATAAGAAAGATTGCAAGATCTGATTTGGGGAACACGTGGCTCACACGGTTCACCAAACTTTTACTTAAAAAAAAAAGAAAAAAAAGAAAAAACCCAAAACATTTTGCCCAAGTATTTACTTGGGATTAAGGAACACACTTCATGTGGAAAGATACAAAGAAAAATGAAGAGCAAGTGCAAAACGAAGTACAAATCCAGTTAAATGTGAGGACAGAACTGAGTTTAGCTACAGGTTATTTGGCATAGTAACTGAACAAACAGATTTAACAGTTGTTTTAATTTTCCAGTGACAAAGGCCTTTTTACACAAGGCTGCAAGAAATGGCAGTACAAAAATCTGGTTGGCAGCTACTTGAAACATTTTTGCCCAAATAAGAAATTTCTCTTTATCATGTGCAACAAGGACACATATTTCCCGACAGGAGCATTAACCCACGGCTACAACAGGAGTTACGAGACACCCCACACTCGAGGACCGTGACTCTGCTGTTGTGCGGAGAAGGTGCACAGGAATCAGCTAAGCCCAACTTGGCAGCTGCGGTCACCGGGCAGGAAAAACAGAGGAACCCGCGGTGAACACAAGGAAAGGGAATGGTTATGTCGGCGCGGCCCGACCGCTCCGGGCGGGACGGGTG